ATTTTCCTACCTTCACAGTAACAGAAGAAACAACAAAAAAATCATCCAGATCCCAACCAAAGTCAGCCCCTTTTTCTCACATGCACATCACACATCTTACTCTACCTTTTCCCTGAATCCAAAGCAAGGTCATGCAAGGTGTGGGTTCACACAGGCTAGGTGCCCCTGGAAATGACTGTACTTGGCCATTTCACGACTGCATGTTCAATTGAACAAGCGCAGTCCCATCAACCCCTAGAACCTTTTAGGGGCTGCACCGGTTCCACGGCCTCGCCCACATTTGCGGCGTTACTTTTTTTCCCCCTTTTCTTCCACTCTTCTTCTCCTCTCTACCCCTGTACCTGCTCTACCATCACGGCCACGTACGTGGTCGTTACTCACTTCTTCTCTTCGTCCTTTCTCCTTCTTTTATTTTTTTCTTTTCTTTTCTACTAACTCTATCTTCAAAAATGCGTCCGCCCCTGGGCACAAACAGTGTCAAGTTCGGGCGGTTTTTTGACAGCTGCTGCCCGCTTCCACTCACGAACAGGCGCATTTGTTCACAACCACGTCGTTTAAAGGAAGAAATATTAAAAGTGAAAAGGGAAAAAAGAAGAACTTAAGAAAAGAAAAAAAAAACTCACTTGAAGTATGTATATGGAGTCCATCGTAACTGCCCTGCAGGTAGCCGCCCTAAGTGGCCTATTCATTCACTTTTGCCCATCCTCAGATGGGCCGGCGGGGCACAGCCCCCTGATGAGTCGGTGCAAGTCCGACGAAACAACCTCGCATAGTCACCTCTCTCTCTCTCTCTCTCTCACACACACACACACACACGCACACACACACAGTCGCAACCGTCAAGCGAGTTGTCGTGCAGTTAGTTCGACCACCGAAAACGATCCGCCGTCACCTCACTTGAACATGTGCAGAAGGTCCCTCGTAACTCAAGTACAAGGTCTCAAAACCCACACCCCGAACTTAGCCGCGTTATGACAGCTGATTCATTCGGTTTTGCTCATCCTCTGCAGCAGCCCGTTCATCAAAACGAACGGGTGCCCTAGCGAAATCACAACCAAATAAGACAAAAAATGAAATTTGAAGAAAGTAAAAAATCCAAAAAAAAAAAAAGATATAAAAAAAAAAAAAAAAACAGTCGAAAGAAGAAAATCTAAAGAAAATGTAAGAAAAGGAAAAGAAAAAAAAAAAAACTTACCTTGCTGTCAAAACAGTTGCCTGTTTTCACGGGCGCTATCAAGTGCACTGGGGCTGAAGTGCCCCAGACACTTCCAAGAGCGCCAAGTGACACTCCAGTTCTCGTTTAGTTTTTTTTTTTTTCACTTATCTCGTTTGCCATGCCAACGGTCACATCCTCCCCACGAACTGTTGCAATACAGACTCGAGTTCGATCCCGACCGGGATCGAAAGAGTTTGGACGATTTCTTGATTACGCGTTTTGTCCTTGAAAGCGCAGGGGTCATACTGAACTGCGCGCCGCTGATCTCAACTGCATGATCTTGATGATCATGCAACCGAAATCGGGCACACTTAACTGCTTGGGCTGCTCCAAAAGGAAGGAGCTAGCCCAGTGGGGCCTATTGGCTTCGATCCCTGCACCTGCGATATGTCAGGCTGGTACATTACCTACTGGGCTACCTCCTATTTCACATTGATATAGGAGCAGCCTTCGTATATGAAGGGCTGTAATGCCAAATAGGCAATCCGTTTGTGGCTTAGGCCTTGCTTATTAGGCCTGCTAGTTCTAGGGTTGGTTGTCCGGTCCACGGCCTCGAGTGGTCTCACCCCCCCCAATCTGGTGGACCACAATGCCAACTTCCTTGGTCCTTGGGGTGGAGACCCCGTGGACTGAAAAAAAAAAAAAAAAAAAAAACGTTCCTTTTCTAGGGCGATTTCCCGGGCGCCCGGGTGCCAAATTCCCGACCAGAATGGCATCCGGGCGCGTGGCCGGTCAGGACCCCCGGGCCGGTTTTGCGCAAGGCCCGAAATTTTTTTTTTCGGGGCCTGGGGGTCCTGCAGGCCGGTAGCATCGGCGCAATTTTTTTTTCGGCCTTGAAGGGACCCAAAAACTGCCTAGCCGCATCGCCGAGATCCAGCCGTCAATCTCGAAGATCGACGGGTGAATTTTCAGGGTTTTTCAAACTCGTTTGCCCGCGCGTTTTCTCGTCGGGGTGATGAGTTTGCCGACGCGAAAACTCGCGGGCAAATGAGTTCCCCCACGTACTCGGCCATCGGAGCCTGCGCAACGACGACGAAGCCCCGAAACCCCCCAGCCGTTGCCCCGGGAGCTCGCCGCCATCGCCCGCCGGCCAGTCGTCGGCCATCGACGGTTTGTGTGTGTGTGTGTGTGTGTGTGTGTGTGTGTGTGTGTGTGTGTGTGAGAGAGAGAGAGAGAGAGAGAGAGAGAGAGAGAGAGAGCAACCATTTCTCTCCTCCTCTTCTTCTTCTTCTTCT